GCCTGAGGACAGGAGTTCAAGACCAGCCCAGCCAACCTGGTGAAACACCAGCTCTACTAAAAACACAAAAACTAGCCAGGTCTGGTGGCGCATGCTTATAGTCCTAGCTACTCGAGAGGCTGAGGCAGGAAAAGCGCTTCAACCCCAGAGGCTGCAGTGAGCCGAGATCGTACCACTGCATTCCAGCTTGGGTGATACAGCAAGACTGTCTCAAAAAAAAAAAGAAAAAAAAAAAGATACAACCTACCAAAACACAAAACAAAACTGTAACAAGGAAGAAACACATAACCTGAATATTTATATACAAAGTTAAAGAAACTGAATTTGTAATGAAAACCCTTCCCACAAAGAAAACTCTAGCACCAGATACAGGGAACTTCCTCAATCTAACAAATGGCAAAACAAAAATACAAGGGAACTTCCTTAACCTGACAAAAGGCATCAACCAAAAAACACTTTCTGATGAAAGACAGCTTTTACCCAGTATTAGGAGTAAGGTAAGTATGCCTACTCACCATTCCTAATTAACAACATCCTGAAAGTTCAAGCTAGTGCAAGAAGGCAAGAAAAAGAAATAAAGAGCACTCAAAAGGAGGGAAAAAACTGCCTCTATACACAGATGACATGACTGCCTACACATAGGAAAACACCAAGGAATCTACACAAGAAAGTTCCTACAACTAGTAATTTTAAGACTGCAAGGTTGCTATTAAAAAACAAACAAACAAACTCCATTTCTACACAGTAACAGGGAACAATCAAATATTGAAGTAAAAAAAAAAAAAACTATTTACAATAGCACCAAGAAACATGACATATTTAACTATAAACCTAACAAAATGTGTGCAGGATCTATTTGCCAAAAATTACATTACATTAAAGAAATAAAACAATGAGGAGATAACATTATATTCAGAGTTTGGAATATTCAATATTGTTAAAATGTTAATTCTCTCCCATGATTTGTAGATTCAAATGCAATCCCAATAAATCCCAGCAGGTTTTATTTTCTTTGATGGACGGAAGATAAAAGTTGACAAAATTATTCTAAAATTTATACAGAAAGGCAAAGGAGCTAGAATAGCCAAAATAATTTTTTAAAGTATTTGAAGGATTTGCCCTCCCTGATTTCCACATTTAATATAAAGCTACAGTAACAGATACAGAAGTAGGTGGTAAAAAAGGCAGACACACAGATCAACGGACCAGACAAGGGAGTCCAGAAATATGTGGTCAATTTATTTTTGACAAAGGGAGAGAGGCAACTAAACGGCCAAAATGTAACCTTTCAAACAAAATGCTTCTTCAAAATAAATACTGGACATCTATATGAACAAAAAAAACCTCTCTGCCCGTATCTCATGGCACAAACAGAATTAACAGAAATAAAACTTTTAAAGGAAAACAGAGGAAAAACTTCTTGATTTTGGGTTTGGCAAAGATTTCTGAGATACAAAACCAAAAGCATGATTGATAAAAGCAAAAATTAACAAACTGGACTTTATCAAAAATTTTTCTATCTTTCCTTTTGAGACGGAGTCTTACTCTGTCACCCAGGCTGAAGTGCAGTGGCATGATCTCAGGTCACTGCAACCTCTGCCTCCTGGGATCAAGCGATTCTCCTGCCTCAGCCTCCCGAGTACCTGGGACTATAGGCACATGCCAACATTCCTAGCTAATTTTTGTATTTTTAGTAGAGATAGGCTTTCACCATGTTGGCCAGGCTGGTCTCAAATTCCTGGCCTCAAGTGATTCGCCTGACTTGGCCTCCCAAAGTGCTGGGATTACAGGCGTGAGCCCCTATACCTGGCCAGAGCTTTATCAAAACTTAAAGCATGTACTGCAAAAGATACTGTCATTAAGAGAAAGAAAAGGCAAATCACAGAATGGGAAAAAAGTATTTACAAAATAATACCTGATAAAGAACCTGTATCCTGAATACGTAAATAAATAAATGAATAAATCAAAAACCAAAAAAAAACCTCTCAAAACTCAGTAACTTCTGTGTACCAAAAAGAACAATCACAGAGTAAAAAGGCAATCCATGGAAAGGAAAAAAATATTTACAAATCATATATTTAATAACTGGTTAATATCCAAAATATATAAAGACTACTGCAACTCAACAACTAAAAAACAAGCAACATAGGGCTTAAAAATGGGCAACAGACTGGAATACGTGAAGTCTATGTTGTATTTTGCCACAAGGTTATAAAACCTCAATAAGAAAAGCCCAATTAAAAATGGGCAAAAGATTTGAATACATTTTACCAAAGATATATGGGTAACAAATGAGCACATCAAGAGATCATGAGTCTTTAGAGATAAGCAGACTAAAACCACATGTGATACCACTAGGTACACATTGAATGGCAGTTTGTCTTGCTCTGTTGCCCAGGACGGAGTGCAATGGCGCAACCTCGGCTCATTGCAACCTCTGTCTCCTGGGTTCAAGCAATTCTCCTGCCTCAGCCTCCCAAGTAGCTGGGACTACAGGCGTGGGCCATCACGTCTGGCTAATTTTTGTATTTTTAGTAGAGATGAGGTTTCACTGTATTGGCCAGGCTGGTCTCGAACTGCTGGCCTCAGGTAACCCACCAGCCTCTGCCTCCCAAATTGCTGGGATTACAGGCGTGAGCCACCGTGCGCTGCCTTTTCTTTTTTCTTTTCAAATCTCACAATACGGATTGAGTATCCTTTACCCGAAATGCTTGGGACCAGAAGTGCTTCAGATTTCAAATGTTTTGGATTTGGGAATACTTGCATTACGCTTACCGGTTTGGCATTCATAATCTGAAAATCCAAAATTCAGAATGTTCCAATGAGCATTTCCTTTAAACATGACGTCATCACCAAAAAGTTGTGAATTTCGCATTTTAGATTTCAGATTTGGGATGCTCAACCCGTACCAAGTGCTGATGAGGACACAGAACAACTGGAGCTCTTATACACTGCCAGTGGCAGTGTTAGATGGTATAGAGAGTTTGACCATTTCTTTAAAACTTATTACCATGGGACCCACAGCCAAGTCTTTTCCTAAGTATTTACCCAAAAGAAATAAAAAGTTATGTTCATACAAAAGTCTGTCCACTAAAGGAGGTTTGTTCATAATCAATGGAAACTGTAAAACCCAAACATACCGCAGCTGGAGAACGGACACACAATTATACATTCATACAATGAAATGCTACTCTGCAATAAGAGAAACTACTGATAGAGTAACATCATGGAGAAATCCCAAATACATTAGGCTACGTGTAAGAAGTCAGTCTCAAAAGGCTACATGTTTTATGAGTCCATTTATATGACATTCTAGAAAAGGCAAAAAAGTACAAAAAGAAATCATATCATTGGTTAAGTGGAGGTGAGGGGACAGGGATGATTAAAAATAGGTGTAAGGGAAAGTTTTTGTATTGAAGTTGTCTTGTATTTTAATTGTGGTGGTTACATGACTGTGTACGCTTGTCAAAACTCAGAACTGTACACTAAGGGTCAATTTTACTATATGTAAATTATACCAATAAAAACAATGAAAGTCTTAATAAAAACAAATGTAATGTGATAAAAATAATAGCAAATCATTGACATCACCACCAGTCATAAGGTAAGAAGTTATTTTATATGTTTAATCATATGTATCTGATTTAAATATGTTGCCTATCAATACATTTCAAACAAAGGGAGGCCATATTGCAGGTTTATGAAAGTTAAGGTTAGTATTATTTAATGATTTTCTTCACCATTTAATAATGAAACATTACAAAGTTGACTATAAAGTTTTTTGAGAGGGAATCTTGCTCTGTCGCCAAGGCTGGAGTGCAGTGGCACGATCTCAGCTCATTGTAAACTCCGCCTCCCAGGTTCACGCCATTCTCCTGCCTTAGCCTCCCGAGTAGCTGGGACTACAGGCACCCGCCACTATACCTGGCTAATTTTTTTGTATTTTTAGTAGAGACAGGGTTTCACTGTGTTATCCAGGATGGTCTCGATCTCCTGACCTCGTGATCTATCTGACTCGGCCTCCCAAAGTGCTGGGATTACAGACGTGAGCCACCTCACCTGGCCAAAAACCACTATTTTTTAATAATTAATTTACCCATTATCTACTATGTGCAGATCCAAACATTCGTGAGATAATCAGGGGCAGAGTCCAGGAACATGACTCTCTTCCCTTTCCATCTTCCTACTAATGGATACAGCTGGTAGAAATAGTAAGTGTAAAGTGCAAGGTCAATATTTAAATATTCTCTCTTTCCATACATTCTCTAAGAAAGGGAGTAATCAGTAGATTCAGCTCTCTTCAAAGAGAGGAAAGAGAATTTTGAGAGGCACTTAACTTTACAAATTGGTAAAGCATGAACTGGTGTCAATTTGTTCCATTTTAAACTTGGGAAAATCAAGGCTTTCGAAGGTGACTGAATCACTTCCCCATTTCTAAAGCAAGAGAAAGGAAGAACTAGAATTCAAATTGATAGCAGTCTCACTTCAGACAAAGTTCTTAGTCCCACCAAGTAAGAACTCATCTCTTACTACTACTCATCTCTCTTCTCGCATCTGCAATTGTTTAAGCAACAGCTTGGGTCAACATGGTAGAAATCAGTTAAGTATCTTTTAGGATTTTATTATGCATACAACCGGTTTAATTTCTAACTTCACTCCCACAATGCATGCATATATACTCAGAAAGGTTGAAGCAGTTTATAATAATTTATACTAATATACAGAGTCTTTTATCTGATCACTCAAAAATTTAAAAAGCATATCACTTACTTTTTAAGTCAGGAATAAAAGCAGCAAATACTCAAAAGGATATATGAAAAAGTAATCATGCTCACTTTTGACCTTAATAAAAAATTATTTTAACTCTAATTTTAAACAAAAGAATATAGAAAAAGTTTCCTCCTTCCTCTGGCTTCCTGACATCTGGCTTTCCTCCATTGTTTTCCAAGCTGCCAGTATCCTGAGTTATACACAGATTATTTACTGCAACACAAACTTACCCTGTGAAGCGTCACTGTATGTTGTTCCCATATAGCTGTTTCCTCCATTGCTGTGCTCTGATAAAGGAAAAGAAAAATAAATCATTTACCTTTTAAGAAAATGTCCTTAATAAGGTGAGCAAGAACATCCAACAATTCAGCATATTGAAATACCAAAATTCACACTGTTAATATTAGAGATACCCTGAAAGGACCTTAATAATTATGGAAAGTTTTTTGTTTGCTTTTAAGAGACAGGAAACGACACACAGGAACTTCCTTTGTTTTTAACTTAATTTGGACAGCTGCTCTATATTCATTTCATGCAAGCTGAAATCAGTATTCAAGCTAACTCTGCAACTTTGTACTTAATATTCGACAGAAAAGAGTAAAAACTGGAGCGGTATTATCTTAAAATATCTAATGGCATGTAAACATTTAAAAGCATCTCTTATGTTTTACAAAGGAAGAGAAATGCCTCGAACACAGTAATTATAAATATACATGTTACAGGAAAACAGATAAAACCATTGCTAGGCTTGGCAAACGGCTGCTTTAAGGTCACAAACATGACTGCTCTACCTAGTTTCAGTTTTGCTACAGAATTACCTTCTCAAGCTTCACTTATAACCAAAAGAAAAAGAACAGCTTTTCTAGTGTATGTATCACACACGCAGACACACACAAGAAACAAAAACAAAAAAGAACAATCTCCCAAACTCCCCCAAGCATCATTATAAAATAAAAGCGATATGAGCTCCAATACAGGTCCCACCCAAATTATAGTGTACTTCAGTTTTACCTCTTGTCACGAGCCCCTCACTAGAGAGTAAAATAAATTATTATCTAAGGCAGGGGTGTCCAATCTTTTGGCTTCCCTAGGCCACACTGAAAGAAGAAGAATTGTCTTGGGCCACACATAAAATACACTAACACTAATGAAAGCTGATGAGCTTTAAAAAAAAAAAAAAAAAAA